ATCCTACATTTTCTTAAAGAAGTAATCTAGCAATCATATCCACACAAACATGTATATGCACAAAAGCTGAGTAACATTTGCTATGTATTCAATTGTGAAAGCAGAATAACATACATATATATATATATATATATATATATATATATATATATATATATATATATATTTTTTATTACTTCAAAACTCCCAAGAAAGTTAAAATTCGGCATTAAATGATCCATAACGAGTTGATATGCTATTAAATAAACAAACAAAAAAACAAAAAAACGTAAAACTCTTGAATCGTCTAACCAAATACGTCACTTGAAATTTTCTTAATTTATTGAATATTATAGCTTTAGTTATCTATTGAGTGGTTTTTGGCAGAAGTTTTCCTAGCCTAAAAAAATTACGCGTATTTTCTCACTTTTATTATTATTATTATTATTATTATTATTATTATTATTAGCAAGAGTTATATAGAGATTAAAAAATATAACTGACAAAATGTAATTTAAAATATCAATCTAAATAAAATTAGATCATTTTTATTTTGTTATTATCTCTACGCTTTTACTGATTCTTTAAAAGATTTTCCCACTTTTGACACTTTTCGCTGTTATCGTGATACAGACGATATTATTAGAGAAATATTAGGTTTTTTTTTTACCAAATATTTTATTTTGGGCTTCACACGGTTTGCTATAATAAAATAATTGAAATAATGAATACAATCAAAATAACAGTTGTTTCATTGAATGTACAAAATCTGGTAAAAGGCCACGTTCGTTTCATAGATTTTTCTTCGCTTGTTTATCAAGATCGTACACCATAAATAGTCTTAAGGCAAGCATATCTCATTTAAATTTTGCTTAAATTCAAATGATTTCAACACCGATCAAATCATTACCTATCTGCCCAGAGTGTAATAATGAAGTATTAATTGTCACAGTTAAAATAGTTGTGATTAGATTGATAAGATTTACTTATAAGAATTGGGATTCAAAAGTTGATAAAAAAAAATTATTTTCTTGTCTGCATCAAAAATGTTAGAAGAAAGAGCAGGATTGATAGATTTTTTGTTTGTTTTTGTTTTGTTTTGTTTTTTTTCTCACAGCTTATTAACCCTTTGTGTATTTCTTTTTTTAATTTTTTTTTCACCCAAAGCAACGCAAAAAAGCCACTGAGTTACAGCGAGTTGCTGTGTGAGAAAGAATATAAGAAATATATTATTAAGAAGCGAGAGAAATAAAAGAACAGAAATTAAGAAGAGAGAAAGATAAATTTATATTTTTGAATATCAAACTTGACTGGAAAGCATGAAGCCAGAAGAGAGTTCCACAAGGGAGAAATATGAGAGAAGAAACTGTTAGGATAGAACTTACGGTAACATCTAGCAAACTCAACTGTAAAATGATGACCTTGCCGTTAATCTATTAAAATCTATTCGGTTATTTAATATACTCAATCTACTTTATCTATATAGTTATTTGAAGTCAAAACCTATTTTGGATTACAAGAATATTTCTTTAGTTATTTTTCGAATGAATATTGTATTAACAATCATTATTTTCCCAGTTATATGACCTATTATTTAACCTATAGCTGGGAAGAGGAGACTGATGCATATCTTTCCCAAGGATATTCGCGCGTAGGTTAATGTAACAAAAACGACTGAAATGGATGGACAAGAAAAACAAAAATTAAGTGGAGAAAAGGAAACTAAAAAAGAAGTTCGGTAAAAAAGAGAGAAAGGAAAAGGGAATAAAAATACTGTTGGGGAGAAAAACAGAAAAGGTAGATGGGGGAATCGAAATGTAGACAATTGAAAATGATTAAAGAAAGGAAATGAATTAAATTTGCAAAAAGAGAGAAAAACAAACAAGAAGAGGAGAAAAGAAAGAAAGAAGAAAAAGGAAAAAAACATACAAGAAGACCCATTGTTTTAAACGGTTGTCGAATTTTAAAAAAAAAGGAAAAAAAAAAGATATTCATCCGCCGTTTGACTGGTCTTGTTTTTAATCCTACTGGGTGTCTAGCCACCTTCCTCACCAGAAGCGTTGTAGGGACCGTTATAGCCGACGACGACCCAACCATCCGTCAGAAAGAAAGTTGGCTCCCTGTGCCGCGCCAGGAAATTTTTCTCCCCGGAATTGATCCTTCAGATCTACAAATGAACAATTCGCCCTTGCATGGAGTATTGCTGCCATATATGGTCTGGAGCCCCTTCTGTTTGCCTCGGGGTTCTTGATAGGCTCTCTCTGTCTGTTTTACAAATACTTCCATGGTAATTGCTCTGAGGAGCTGCATTCGCTGGTTCCCAAACTTCATGAGTTCAAGCGTCCGACGAGGCTGACATCCCGCTCTCACCCTTTCACTGTCGAAACTCCTAAATGTAGCCGTCTCTTCTACTCCAATAGTTTCATGTCTCGCACCTCTCGCCTGTGGAAATCCCTTCCCTATTCCAGTTTCCCTGAGAGCTATAATCTCCAACTATTCAAATGTAATGTCAATCGACATCTCCAGATGCCTTGATCTATCCACTATCCTTCTCCTCCTCCTTTCCTCTATCACTCCTATCTGATCTTGCTCCAAATCTTCTGTAACCCTTTGCGTCCTTGCTTGGGGTGAAACGTTTAAAAATAAAAAAAGATGGTACTGGACTGTATAGTATCTCTTGTACAGTGACCTGACATAACTGAGAGAATCTAATGAAACGTAATTTTTTTTTTAAATTGATCGAATGAGCCAGAAGTAAATCCTCTTCTTTTAAGACATACAAAAATGCCTTAAACTTAGAGGACATCGGTTTTGGTCTGACCTTGAGGAGGATAAGTTCCACCCGATCTAGTTGTCCCAACTACGCTACACAGGAATTATATCTCACGGGCTTTGTATCCAGAAAAGTAGGGAACGAACTGGTCAGATACTCACCAGCGCAGTGATCCTACGACCACATCGGGTCCTGGGACTGATGATATCTCAGTTTTTGGTACAACAGCACAAATATTCCTCTTTAAATGTCATTTGCCTTAAGGAAAGAATAACATTTTGGACAGGGGCAACGTTATCACCATTTAAGTGCCGTGTCCCTTCAGAACGTGGTTGGCCATGGCTCTCCACCGATTCCTGTCTCTTGAAACTCAAAGCAATATTTGATGCTTTACGATTTACCAATAGTAACTATAGGAACTGATAGACAAGCTAATACAGGAAAGCGAGAAGAAAATACTGTTAATTGTAAGGAAACAGAATGTATAGCCGATAGTAAGAGGGACAGGCCAAGATGTGAGCTAAGAAATGAAGACCTCAAAATTAAGCAAGTACAGAAATTTCTCTGGGAACTCTTATAAAAGACTATCAAAATTATGAATCCGAAATTCAAAGAAGCATTGGAATAGTGAAAGATTCGTTCAGAACCTAAGGAAAGTGTTGATAAACAGTAAAATTTCGTTATAAACAATGAAAAGATTGCTGAACTGTTATGTATTTAACATCCTTTCTATATGGCAGTGAATGCAGGGTAATTCCCTAGCAGATGAAGTAGAGTTTTTATGGTTAAACAGAAGTGAAGCTGAGAATACCATGGATGAAAATAATGTGGAACGATGAAGTCTTAAGGAAAATGTAATAAAAAAGAACATTTATAATTTAGAATCGGAAGATACATAATGAGGAAAGAGTACTTGGCGAATTTGATACTCACAGGAAATGTTGAACGTAAGAGGCGCATAATGAAACAGCGAATAATCTAAAACCGCTTTTGTAAGTTGATGGTAGAACATGCACTGTAATGTGTGGTAATGGAAAATTACTTAGGAGGTTGAGGAGAGTCGTGCTCGCCCACGTCCTAAAAAGATACGGCACGTAATAAAAGATACTAGTAACAATATTAATGATATAATTAATATGTTATGTCTTTTCTGCAAAACAGATATTAAATTGCAACGTTCATTAAGAGTTTTCCTTATACAAGAGTTTTTATTTAAATCTAGGATTACTGAACAATTTTGCTTAATTGCTAACCACTGTTTTATTCAAGACTTCAAATGATATTTTAAGATTACCATACTTTTGTAAAAAGCACTAACAATGAAGAACCCAAGAGTATTAGACACATAACAGTAGTGAATAGTCGGTCGAGACCATTTTGCAAGAAATTGCTCGAAGCCAGGTGCCATCGATACCAGGTCCCATTGTCAGTCAGTTATGTGCCATGCCTGATACACGCTTACGCGATCATGTATAATTCGACGCATGACTGATGAGGCAGATGATTTCCCGCAGTAGATTGCCATTTCTTTCTGTGGTAGACCAGTTGCCATCCAAGGTTATAGAACCCGATCTGTCCTGCTATTTATCCATAGATGGGGGAGAAGAAGAGGATTCGTACCTTTTCTAAGGGTATTAGCACGTAAGTGAATGTAATGGATTCAAATGGAATTCGAACTCGGTTCTCCGATTCCTCAATCCGAGATTGATTCATTCAATGAACATTTTATATTCTTATTAAAAAGAAAATGTTCTAAATTCCTCAGTAACCCTCTACCTTGAGTGGCTGTTGGGTCTTGTATTGGAAGAACAGTTTCTCTTTATCTTTATAATACTTATCCATCGATTTTTGGAAGGGGCATGGGAGCCAAATCAATTTGAAACTCGAATTAAGCAACATTAGACCTGGTCAGTACGTAGACTGGTGGCGGGTAAGGAATACCAGGTGTTGTAGGCTTGGATGTGTGGGTGGTGTAAATAATAAAGAGAACCAGTGGGGTTCGTTAATGTCTTACGTTCAAATATCCTTGTGAAAGTTATGAATCAGTCATTTCTTTTCCCATTTATGGGTTAAATAGTATTGTTTGTATCAGAAAATCATTATCTCCAACAAATGCTCACCATGTGTTAATGAATATGTTTCGGCTTTATATAATCTAAAAAGGTTGATAAGCCATAAGAAATCAATGAAATAATCAAAATGAATGAATCAAGTAGGCTATCGTTAAAATCGGCCTCTTTTTTGAAAGAGAGACAATCCTTCTTTTTCCCTTTTTTCCTTTCTTAATTTTCTCTTTTTCTTGTATATTTTTTCTTTTTACTTCTTTATTTCTCTTCTTTTTTCTTCTTTTTATTCGTTATCCCCATTTTCTATATTCTTTTCTCTTCTTTTCTCTTCTAGAATGTTTCTCCTTTTTCTCCTTTCTTTCTTTTCTCTTCTTTTTGAATGTTTTTTTTTTCCGTTTTCTCTTTAGTTTTCTCTTCATCTTGTATGTTTTTCCTGTCTCTCCTTTCTTTCTTTCTTTCTTTCTCTTCTTCTTGTATGTTTTTCTCTATCTCCATTCTTTCTTTTCTCTTCTTCTTGTATGTTTTTCTTTCTCTCCATTCTTTCTTTTCTCTTCTTCTTGTATGTTTTTTTTAATCTTTTTTTCTTTTCTTTCTTTACTCTTCTTGTATATGATTTCCTTTTTCTCCTTTCTTTTTTCTTCTTCTTGTATGTTTTTTTTTCCTTTTTCTCCTTTATTTCTTTTCTCTTCTTCTAAGTTTTTTTTTCCTTTTGTCTACTTCTTTCTTTACTCGTCTTCTTCAAAGTTTTTCCTCTCTCTCCTTCCTTCCGTTTCTCTTCGTCTTGTACGTTTTTCTTTTTTCTCTATTCTTTCCTCTTCATCTTGTATGTTTTTTCTTTTTTCTGCTTTCTTTCTTTTCTCTTCTATATTTTAACTTTTTCATCATTCTTTTCTCATGCTCTTGTATGTTTTTCCTTTTTCTTTCTTTTCTCTTCTTCTTCTATGTTTTTTTTTTCCTTTTTCTTCTTTCTTTTCTCTTCTTCTTGTATGACTTTCCCTTTTTCTCATTTCTTTCTTTTCCCTTCTTCTTGTGTGTTTTTTCCTTCTTCTCCATTTCTTTCTTTTCCCTTCTTCTTGAAAGTTTTTTTTCCTTTTGTCTCCTTTCTTACAAGTCTTACCATATTCGAATATTTCGATGATCATTAAAGTTATCGACATTTTTAAAACGTCACACTTCAGAAGCCGCTTGCCATAGTTCCCTGATAAAATCTTTCAGTATAAGATCAATTGTAAGAAGAGACAATGTATTGTTGTCAACAAGAGTAACAGCCCAAGATATGAACTACAAATTGAAGATACAAAAATCAAATAAGTACAAAACTTTGCCTGTTACTGCACTACATAGATACTTACGTTTCCGCATCTGTTTGATTTTGCCGGCCACGATATGTAACACACAACTGTCTTTTTAGCTGACAAACTTGCATTCTGTCCTTTGATAGTTGGTCCTTTCTTATTGCTTTCTTTTACTACCTTGTCTTATGGGTAGGTTTTATTAGACAAATACGACAAATTCATCGTATATAAAACGTCAGAGCAAACTTATGTGGCAGGTTAAGTATGAAAAGCTAATCAACTTAGTATTGTCACACCATCTAAACACGATGTATCAACAAATGTGGACAGAATTTGTAATAATCTAGTCACATTTAAGAAGAACAGAAACAAAACAAATGATCAGGGTGACAAAAGTTTGGGGACACGCCCAAGATGATAGAAAAAAGAGAAAACCAGTTTGCGAAATCCTTACAAAATTTGATTTTTTTTTTTTTTGTTTTTTTTGTTTTTTTAGAGCTTATCAACCTTTTTCAGATTATTTAAAGCCAGAAATTTTTTATAGATTGTAATAATTTTGGATGACAATAATGCTTTACTGATAAAAGCCCTAATCTATTAAACCATAACTGGATGGAGAAGAGGCGGATCCATACCTTTCCCAAAGGTATTTGCGTGGAAGCGAATATAACAATTCTGATTGAAATTGGAACACGAGCCTCCGATTTTCAATTTCGAGCCGTTAACCATTTCACTATTAGTAGCTCCAAGCTTACAGCGCCTATTATTCTCCAGCTGTCTCTAATCTAGGCCGTAAGCCCTTTCCAAAAAACGAAAGAACAAGATAAACAGAAGCTCTTCACTCAATAAAAGTGCTAAAGAATGGTTTTGTTTTATGGACGTAAGAATTGTAAAATAACGTTTGACCCTATATTTGAAGAGGTTAGGATAGTAGTGGTTGGGGAAGCATCCTATGGAGTGAGGGGGGGAGTCACAAAACAGTGGTTCTTGAGATTTAAGCTGTATGAATTGAACTAGTCTCTTACAAAATAAATACGGATCGGATGAGGATGGTTTGCCCCTGCGTACATGGTGGGATTTAGCTGCAAATGTCTGAACTGATGGAACTTTGCAACGTAGCTTATCAGAACATTTAAAAGCAAAAAGTATCTGTCTATATTTCTGAGATGATGAATTGTAACTAAGTGCATTGTTCTGACTGTTGTCCTTATTTTTATAGCCATATTCACACTTCCGTTATTGTACGCTCCGAACCGATCCCTTTTTTTTTAGTCAACGCAGGTAGATTGTTCTAATTCCAGTTGCCATGCCTTTTCTGGATATCTCAATTTCAGTTGTCTTTAGTAACTCAACTCTCCATGGCTGAAGTAACCTAAAAAGAGACCAGCCTCAAAGAGCTGTGAGTTCAATGCCCGGCCAGAAAAGAGGGAATTAAAAAAAAACTACCTGAGAAAAAATTAAGAATATATTTTCCGTGATTTGGAATTAATGATATCGTTATTGATATACTAACATTATGCGTATAATTAGTTTCTTAACTAAGACATTTCATGAGAGAAATATACTGCAGTTTATATTATGATAGAATTGCATTAAAAATCAGGAAGGAAGGCATTTCCAGTTGTCAGGAACTAGAGCAAGTTTTACTATATAATGTAAATGAACCGTTAGTGATTTTACTACATAAATACATGAACAATCTCCAAAGAATGGATTGGCAGCTGTCATAAAGTGATGTAAGCCTTTGATTGAAGCGAGTTCTTAGTTTTATTGTGGCAGACTGAATAAAAACAAAACAACTCCTGCGCTATACGACTTATTTAGCTTAATTATAGAGTCAGTCTGATATATATATATATATATATATATATATACAGTGTAACCCGGATATAAGAGAGTTCTCGGGACCGGAGAAGAAGTCTCTTATATCCGGGTTTCTCATATATCCGGGTTTGGTCTATTTTATATACATTAACACAGGCTCTAATTTGGGACCAGAGAAAATCTCTCTTATATCAGGGTTTCTCTCATATCCGGGTGTCTTATATCCGGGTTACACTGTATATTACAATTATTTTTTTAAAAAAATATGATTCCTTCGCTACATACATTAAAAAAATAATTTAAAAAAATAATTATAATCTAAGCTCTACTTCTATATGGAGCACTGTTTTTTTTTAAATAAAAACAAAAATACTAAAGAACCCTGGATTATTTACCTAATGTGTTCTTTCCTATTTTTCTACATACCTGCACACACACACACACACACACACACATATATATATATATATATATATAATTTTTCACCCAATACAAGGCGAAAGAGCCCCTCAAAGTTGATAGTAACTGAATGAAGTTGTTGTGAGGTCGGAAGGGGAGGTTTAAGAAGTGCATATTATGAGTTTATGTAGGATAGATAATTATTGACGCTAGACTTGAAGCGATTCAGATCTTAGTGATTGGGGAAGCATCCTCTTGACAGTCTGTCCTACATAAGGGCTAAGAAATACAACAAAATCTGGGTACAATTTCAAATCGTAAACGATAAAGATAAACGGACGTTTAGTTCGAACCTTTATATTTTTTTTTAAATTTCTGGTTTTAATTGTTTTTTTCCATTTAGCTCTCTTAGTCTATCATAACGTGTAATTACAACTGACACCCATGAAAAAAGTAAAGAGATGGTATTTAATCTCGATCTCATGTAGTTCTGTTTCATGCGAAGCAGATGGTTCCCTTTGAAATTTGGTCTTCTAACCGGCATCTACTTTGACCGAAGGTTAACGCGTAAATGAAGGAGATGATGAGTTGTTTTTGGAGATCAAGTAACAACAAAACCGGAAATAGGGTATATTCGGTTGTTGGTCTATATTAACAGCTATGCTTGGGATCGGGTAGAGTTTTGGTACGCCGTTGGTGAGAGACTGATTCGACCATCGTGCGGTTCCAGTGCCGTTCATTCGTACTGCCAGGTACCACGTTGTGATGGCCGATGAGTTGGCAGGAAGTAGAACCAAGCTGTCAAATAAACACAGCACTAGAATACTCTGGGACCAGACCATGTTTTTTGAACACTCAATGAGGATTAAATTCATTACATTTCAAAAAAAAATTCTACCACACTTAAGCCACTGAAACACAATCTACCCTCCATATGTATATAATGTAAACAAATGCTAATTGCTGTAAGAATGGACTAAAAACAGAATTAATGTGAAGACTATCAAGAGTAGCAACACGTAAAATGGATATCACGTGCTTCTACAGAATTATAATGAGGACACCATGGATCGAATATGTGAGCAACGACCAGGTTTTAGGGAAAATGGAAACAAAAAGGAAACTTATAAACATCAGGATGATGCAGTTGAAATTTCTGAGGCATATAATGAGGAAGAAGGGCTTGGAAAATCTGATACTCACAGTACAGATTGAGGGAAAGGGGTACAGAGGAAAAGAAAGTATAACATACTCAATAAGCTTGAGTAAATGGATAGGAGAAATAACAAAAAGACATAATATATTAAGAGTTACAAAAGGGCAGGAAATTGTGGAGAGCCATGATTACCTACGTCCAAGGGCACATACAGAAAAAAAGAATATGAGATGCTTCCTTATAAAGAAATTTGTGGCATTCGTTGACCGAGCAGTCTGTACTAATGCCGGTTGAAATTTACAAATTCCTTCTCTTAAAACAATTTTTCATGAAAATATTTTTCTCAAGTCCAGTAGTCGTTATCGCTCTTTCCATTATTGATGGGAGTTACTTCCTAATCTTTTGTTTCAAGTGGTGTGGAACGTCAACATCTCATGTCATTATTTTCTGTTCGAGTTAATCAATCTTACTACATAAATGCATGGACCTCCACAATTTCCTAACTTTTGGAACGCTTAATATATGGTGTCTTTTTTTTAGTTCTCCTAAACCCATCCATTTACTCAAGCTTATTGAGTATGTTATACTTTCTTTTCCTCTGTACCACTTGCCCTCAATATGTCCTGTGAGTATCAGATTTTCCAAGCCCTCCTTCCTCATTGTGTGCCTCAGAAATATCAGTTGTCTCTTTCTGATGTTTATATGTTTCTTTTTTTTTCCATTTTCTCTAAAACCTTGTCGTTGCTCACATATTCGATCTATGGTATCGTCAGTATAATTCTGTAGAATTCTTCATCTTTGAGGTGATTGTTCAGCATTCACAGACATATATGAGACATCACGTAACAGTTCAGTACACTTTTCTGTCTCTTAAAACTCTCCTTACTATTATCATTAGCCCCGTGTGATGCCTTGATGTTTACCAAAATAATCTTAGTACTACAAAGGTCTAAATAATAGAGTAATTGTCAGCATCGAACTTATTCTAATAGTAAAGATCTACTTCAATAACTAAAGTCAACACAGCAGTAGAATACGCTGGGACCAGACCATGTTTTTTGAACACACAATGAGGATTAAATTCATTACATTTCAAAAAAAAATTCTCCCACACTTAAGCCCCTGAGACACAATTGGTTGCTGGGTGTGGAAGTGTTAGAAGCATTACTAAGGAGCGAGAAGAAAAGAAGAATGATCGGGAGGACAAAAGATAGCGATTGACATTGCATTTAAATTTTTGCAGATTAAAGTTGACTGGAAACTATGGAGCAGGGAGTTCCACAATCGAGAAGTGTGAGAAAAGAAACTGTTAGCATAGAACTTACGGTTACATCTTGCCAACTCAAATGTAAATGAATTAGACCCCGTCGCCAGTCTAGTCCTGCGCTTATATTCAAAGAGCCTAGCTACCATAAGGAAGAACTCAACCGAACAATCATCATGAAATTATTTATAGACAAGTCACAAACAGGCAATTTTATGGCGGTAGGAAAGTGACTGAAGCCGAGATAACAGATCAGGACCAATAATATTGCTGATACTTCTTTGGGTTTTATCAACGAGCTTTAGATAAATAGCAGAAGCAGTGGACCATAAGTGGCAACAATATGAGATACGTAGAGATATGTGTAAAGATTAACTTAGACTCAAGGTCAAATATTGCGTGTGGCACTCAGTGAGGTTCGAGATCACTGAAGCAGTATGGTCTATTTTGATAGCTTGCAAAAAGAAACTAAAAAAAAAAAAACACCGTGGTGTTTATTTTAATGTTTCAGCAAGGAGATGGGTTTACGAGTGGATAGAATAAAACGCAACTTCTGAACGCTACCAATACTCGGCAACCAGAACAGTGTGGATATTTTTGTATGCATAAAAACAGACCGATGCACACATGTTTTTACAAAGAAACGAACTCAGAAAGGCGCAGCTCCAGCCGTAATCGCCAGACATTCCAATGCCCTCGCCTAAAAAAAAACAAAAACATCTTAGCATTGGCCCATTAACACACACTGACTGAGACGCATAATCTTATGCAAATTATTTGAAGTCCTAATTTTCTAAAGAAATTCGAGCTCTGCAGGAGGAGAAGGGAGAGAAATACAGGTATTTACACTGAAGGGGCGGGAGTAATAATATTATGATAAGATGGCGGATGAAGTAAGGAATAGAAATGACGTCATAAAATACGGACCAATGAGGAGAATGCGTGCGAATGGCATTATGCAAATTAGATGGGAAGAAGTAATGTGGCTGATGGTGGATTGTGGACGCGGATAGAAGCGAAGAAGAGATGGTGGCAGTATACTGTGATGGCCGTCTCACGAAAAACTCAACTCCACTGCCTACTACAACGGGTTCATCCCATAGCAACTAAAATCAATACTAAGGCATCTACAGTTCAGACATTCCACAACTGTTTACCAAGAATTGCCTCCTCCCATAATTCTGCTATCTTTCTTTTCTTATATCTCACATTCTTTTCTTGTCGCGTGATTCTTTGTCTCCCCTACATCTCTCTCCCTCCCTCCCTCTCCCATATATATTACATCTCTCTCCCACTCCTCCCTCTCCATATATATATATATATATATATATATATATATATATATATATATATATATATATATATATATATATATATATATATATATATATATATATTAAATTTGTCATGATGTAATGGCTAACAAGTTTTGTAATATATTATTGCTATGCTAGCGTAGTCAGTTCAATCCTTACAGGGTGGTAGCACTTGTGACCATGTGATGTACTAAACTCATATAGAAAATGCACACACACATTTATATTTATATATATATATATATATATATATATATATATATATAGTCTAGATTTATTTTCCCTCATGTTTTTCTTTGTATCATTTTTATATTTTTAATTCATTAAACATTTATTTCTCTTTTCTCTCTCTTTATCCAACCCTCTTTTCACTTACTCTCTATAATTCTTTATCTCTCTATCTCTCTCTCTCACTTATTTTGTGTGTGTGTGTGTCTGTGTGTGTGCGTGCGTGCTTGCGCACAATTCTTTCTGTCATTCGATCTTTGGTAAGCTGCTTTAAATATCTTTCTTTCTTTTTCATATTACTAGAGCTTTCTTTCTTTCTTCTGATTCCATTTAAATTATTTCTATCTTTCTTTCTTTCTTTCTTTCTTTCTTTCTTTCTTTCTTTCTTTCTTTCTTTCTCCTATTTCCATTTAAATCCTTTCTTTCTCCTATTTCAATTTTCTTTCTTTCTTTCTTTCTTTCTTTCTTTCTTTCTCCTATTTCCATTTAAATCCTTTCTTTCTCCTGTTTCAATTTTCTTTCTTTATTTCTTTCTTTCTTTCTTTCTTTCTTTCTTTCTTTCTTTCTTTCTCCTATTTCCATTTAAATCCTTTCTTTCTCCTGTTTCAATTTTCTTTCTTTCTTTCTTTCTTTCTTTCTTTCTTTCTTTCTTTCTTTCTTTCTTTCTTTCTTTCTGTCTGTCTGTCTGTCTGTCTGTCTCCCTCTCCTATTTCCATTTAAATTCTTTCTTTCTTTCTTTCTTTCTTTCTATTTCAATACATTATTTCTCCTATTCTTTTTTCAATTATTCCTTTCTCTCTCTCCTTTTTCCCTCTCTCCTCTTTCCATTTTAATACTTTCTTTCTCCTATTCATTATTCATATATTTTTCTTTCTTTCCGTCTTTCTTTCTTTCTTTCTTTCTTTCTTTCTTTCTTTCTTTCTTTCTTTCTTTCTTTCTTTCTTTCTTTCTGTCTGTCTGTCTGTCTGTCTCTCTCTCTCTCTCTCTCTCTCTTATTTCCATTTAAATTCTTTCTTTCTTTCTATTTTAATTCATTATTTCTTGTTTCTTTATTTTTTCACTTATTCCTTTCTTTCTGTCTTTATATTTCCATTTATATATTTTACTTACCCGTTTCCTTTGCATATATCAGTTGTATTTATTTATATTTATGATGCTTTGGGTCGTATTTAAATTTAAATCAATTCTTTCCTTCATTCTTTTACGCCACTTTTTCTCTTTTATTTTTCCTAATTTCCTTTCTTTCACTTGCTATGATCATTTTATTCTTCGTCTCTCTCTCTCTCTTTCTCTCTCTCTCTCTCTTTTTCACTCTCTCTCTTCCTTTTCTGTCTTACCCCCCCTTACTCTAACCTATATCAACGACTTGATTACCATTTTCCCCATCATTTTATTCATCTATTTATTTATTCAATCTAATACCTGAATATTTATTCTTTTCCTCTTAACTCAATTTGAAATATTTACCTACTTTCTTTTTCGTCCTTTTTTCTTTCTATCTTTTTTTTTTAAATTTGACTTGATTTAATTTAAGGTGTTTTATTCTGCTTTAAATTTCTTAACAATTCTCTGTTTCTTTCTTTCGTTTAAATTTTATTAATTTGTTTATTTTCTCCTGCCACTATTTCTTCCTTGAAACCTATTCTCTTTCTTTTTGCATTATTTATTTCTTTTCCTTCAGTTCGAAATTTCTTTTATCTACCCGTTTTCACTTCCGTTACCAGAAATAGCGCTGAGTCATTGTTCGCATATAATGTTGCTTTATTTTTCTCTCTTTATATCTCTTTCTTTTTCTTCTCATATTTCTTTTTACATGTCTTTATATTTTATTTCTTTTCTTTATTTTTCTTTCTTTATTTATTTAATTAATTCCTTCTGTCTTTTCATTTTCTGTTTATTTGTTTGTCTTTATTCTTTCAATTGTTCCTTTCTTTTCTTCCTTTTTTTTCTTCTTTTTCCTCAGTGTCCTGTCTTTCTTTTTTTAATGATTTTCTTTCTTTCTTTCTTTCTTTCTTTTGTTTTTCTTTTTTTTCTTTCTTTCTTTCGTTCTTTTTTTGCTTTCTTTTCGTTTTTTTTTTTTTTTTTTTTTTTTTTATTCTTTTTTTTTTTTCATTCATTCTTTCTTCTACCTTTCTTCCTGACTTACTTACTCTCTTTATTCCTTTCATCTCTTCTTTGTTTTTTTTCCTTTTCTTTCTTTCATTTTTTCTTTCTTACTTCTTTCGTATCCCTTCGTTCCTTAGTGCAGTTGTTTCTTTTTTTCCTCTTTTCCCTCTTCATTTCTATCTTTACTCCTCCTCTTCTTTCTGTATGTCTTTTTCTTTCGTTTTGAATTCTTCATTCTTTCTTTCTTTCTTTTTTTTTTCTAACTTCTCTTTCTTTCTTTTTTTTCATTTTATTCTTTCTACCTTTCATTTATTTTCTTCCTTTCATTTGTTTGTTTTGTTTCATTCTTTTTTTCTTTTTTCTTTAGTCTTCCTTTCTTTCTTATTGTCGCTGAATCTTTCTATATTTATTTCTTTTGTAGACTATCACTTTCATATCTTTATTTATACCTCCTTCCTCCATTTCTCTTTCCAACTACACTTTCTACTCTGCCCAGTCATTAATCCTTTCCATTCTTTCTTTAATCCTATTACGAAATCCTCTCTTACCCCTTCTCTCGCTTGCACATTTAACGTTAAAAAAACAGATCGCTACTTCATCCCTTATCAGCAGATAACTACGCCTTTTTCTTTTCGTTTATATTTTTTAACTTATCAGAAAACATTACCTTTGCAATCTTTGTTTATAAATTCGAAAGGGGAGAAAGCTTTTATCATTTCCCTGTTGCTATCTATCTATCTATCTATCTATCTATCTATCTATCTATATATATATATATATATATATATATATATATATATATATATATATATATATATACATACACATAAAGATTGGTATATATATATTGAATATCTATCTATCTATATATATATATATATATATATATATATATATATATATATATATATACATACACATATATATATTGGTATATATATATATATATATATATATATATATATATATATATATATATATATATATATATTTTCAGTGTTGGTATTTTTCTTACTCAATTTTCTAAATCTACTCCAAAAATGCGCGGGCTTGAAAGGACCACAATGAAAAACTAATCGACATAATATGTCTAAATAATTTAACCAAACCTTTTTGAACATATATATATATATATATATATATATATATATATATATATGTGTGTGTGTGTGTGTGTGTGTATGTGCGTGTGTGTGTATGTGTGTGTGTGTGTTATACTGATAATTATACTTGGTTGGTAAAAAAAAATAATCGGATGTTGCAATTTCCAAGGATATCAAAACAAATTGATTATCCGAGAAAAAATTGGAAAAAAAAGAAAGATCCAGAAACATCCAAACATGGTGAAAAAAATCGTGTAGTGCCTTAAATTTCCATCCCCACCCCACAAAAAAACAAGCGTATAACTAATATAAAACGTAGAGTACTGGAAGCGCAAAGTCGAGCATAGGAATAAAATAAATCCTAAAGAGCCAGGAATACCTACCTAGGTTTCACCTAAATGGATCTTCAGGAAAAGATTACCTTGAAGATCCTTTTAGGTGAAACATAGGTAGGTATTTCCTTGCTATTTAGGATTATATATATATATATATATATTTATATATATATATATATATATATATATATAATCGACTCTCCCGTCGCGTTCGACGTATGAGGTCAGGCCGATAAGTCCCCAGGAAACCGACATCCCGACACCGGCACATGAGATTTGATTATAGTGGTGAAGGCCTCGTGCTGGACCAGCCACACTTTTTGGAGGGACGGATACAGAAACCTGGTGCACCGAATGCATGCCACAAGGTTCCCAAACGACCCTCCGCAGGTTTTGAATTCAGAATTGTCCTTCTCCTAGACCAGCTGCCATCCAAGGCTATAGAACCCAGTCTGTCCTGCTATTTTACCCATAGCTGGAGGGAGATGAAGAGGATACATACCTTTCCCAAGTAAGTGAATGTGATGGATTCGACTGGAATTCGAACTCGGCTCTGCGATTCCTCAATATATATATATATATATATATATATATATATATATATATATATATATATATATAAAGAGAGAGACAGATAGAGAGAGTCAGAGACAGGTACAGAGAGTGCGATGGATGAATTGTCGTATAAATTATGCAAAAATTAAAATAACACTGATAATTTATTTCAACAGATATATTTAGCAAAATTACACAAAACTATCTTGACATACTATACAGTAAATATATTCAATGAAATCGACATTGGCTTTAGCTATGGCCTCCAGACGACTTCGGAATATCCTGGCTCTCTTCTCGACGTACTTCTTGTCTAAGTTGGTGAATGCTGCCATAATCCTTGCCTTGAGTTCAAGTTTTTTTGGTCTCTTGCTCAAAGCGCTCCACACATAATACCCAAGGGGTTTGAGACTGGGGAATTAGGTGGCCAGATGTAAGGTATGATGCTTTCGCAGAAATTGTTCTACAGCCATGATTGGGTTCTCCTGCTTATGTGACATGGTGCAGATATAGGGTCTTCCAGCAGTCACCCTCTTGACCCAGGGCAGCACTACCTACTCGAGGCACTTAATGTAGTCTTCTATATTGAGTGTGAGGCAATGTGGAAAGATGAATGGAAATATAACGTCGCCATCACTAGTGATCACGTCAAACACCTTCATACTCATAATTATTCATTTCCGAAAGCGCTGCATTGTCTTCAGATTGACATCCAAACATTCTGAAATGTTCGTATTGGAAATTCTGGCGAGAATGCCAAGCAGCACAGTATGCCGTTTGCAAATTTATGGCGGAGTGAATTGCGTCATGGTGCTTTTTTCTCACAGGCAGTGCCCATCTAACCCAACTATCTTGTGTAGTCAACAAAATCAAAAACAAACAACGAACATGCGCGAATATATACAATGGTGACAATTTATACAGCATATATATATATATATATATATATATATATATATATATATATATATATATGACTGTCTATCCATCAATCCATCTTTGACACTCTGTTCATATCTATCCATCTCGGATAATCTGTGCATATCTATCTATCTATCTATCTATCTATCTATCTATCTATCTATCTATCTATCTATCTATCTATCTATCTATCAACGAGTGTCTGTTCATATCTGCCTATCTATATATCTATCCAGCTATCTAGTATTCTATTTCTGACAGTCTGTCCTTAGGTATCTGACAAACAACGAACATGCGTGAATATATAAAATGGTGACAATTTACACATCACACCCTGTATATGACTATCTATCAATCTATCTTTGACACTCTGTTCATATATATATATATATGATAATCTTTGCATATCTATCTATCTATCTATCTATCTATCTATCTATCTATCTATGAGTGTCTGTTCATATCTGCTAATCTATATATCTGTCCACCTGTCTTGTAATCTATCTCTGACAGTCTGTTCATAGACATTTGACTATCGATCGATCTATCTGATATAAACAGATATGACAGGAATAGATTGATAGATAGATATAGTGTCTATCAATCTATCTCTGAAAATCTGTTAGAATCTTATCTACCTATCTTGGCTTATTTGTCTATGGAACTATAAATTTGTCTACGTGCCTATGTAAATTGTCATTCCCCAAAAGACGTTGGCTTTCTTAAAGTAATTATTTAATTACACTCACAAATTGTTACTTTCATTGTCCAGCCTCTTTACGCGTACATTTTAAACCGGAATCATTATTCACAAATATCTTGCCGAGATCATTTTTTTTTTCCTCTTTCTTATCTATCACTGGGTATTGATTGTTTGTTTTCTTTTTCAGCTTTCTGACATTGTTTTATTCTTTCTTTCTTTCTAACATTGTTTTTATTTATTTTTCCTAGTCTGCTCTTCCTTCAGAATTTTCATGTTGCCCATCCACTCACTTTCTCTCTTAGTAATAGTCATGTATTCCTTTCCTCTGCGTTTCTGTTAATCAAAACAACTTTATTAAATCATACTATTTACAGTGGAATATTGCTTATGCAGTCACATGTTTTCTCAGATCCTGGCTTCTTTTGTCTTTTCCCTTTCAATCTCTCACTTGCTCTATCTATCTATCTATCTATCTATCTATCTATCTATCTATCTATCTATCTATATATATATATATATATATATATATATATATGCGAGTGTCTGTGTGTGTGTGTGTGTGCAGAGCAGTTATTGAATTTTCAGTCACATGTTTTCTGAGGAGTCAGGCTTCGTTCCTCTTTTCACGCTCACTTTATCTATCTATCTATCTATCTATACACACACACACACACACACACACACACATATATATATATATATATATATATATATATATATATATATATATATATATAACTATCCACGTATTTAGGAATATTGCTTTTATTGTCACAAAATTTTTCAGATTCTAGATTCGTTTCTATCTATCTATCTATCTATATTCTATCTATCTATCTATCTATATATCTATCTATCTATCTATCTATCTATCTAACCACAGAGGAATATTCCTTTTTCAATGACATGTTTTCTAAGATACTAGGATCTTTTGTCTTTCCCTCTCACACTCTCACTCGATCTATCTATCTATCTATCTATCTATCTATCTATCTATCTATCTATCTATCTATCTATCTATCTATCTCTACGTACATACATACATATATATATATATATATATATATATATATATATATATATATATATATGTATGTGTATTTGTATATCAATCTCCCTCTCTACTGAGTAATACTGTTTTTGTAGTAACATGTTTCCTCATATTCTAGCTTTTTTTCTCTTTTTCTTCTCCCTCACAGTTTATATATATATATATATATATATATATATGTGTGTGTGTGTGTGTGTGTGTGTGTGTGTGTATACATATATACACTGAGTAATATTGCTTTATCTGTCACATGCTTTTTGAGTTACTAACTTAGTTTATATTTTCCCTCTCACACTCTCACATGATCAATCTATCTATCTATCTATCTGTCTGTTTACCTATCTATCTACTGATGAATATTGCTTTTTCATTTACATTTCTCAGATTCTATCTTCTTTTCTCTTTGCCTCTCAAACTCTCCTTTGATCTCTCTTTCTTTCTCTCTCTCCCTCTCTATCAACAGAGAAAGATCGATTTTTCATTCTCATGTTTTCTCAGATTCTAGATTCCTTTCTCTTTACCCTCTTACACTCTCACTTGATCTATCTATCTATCTATCTATCGAGGATTAATTTCTGTTGTCACATGTTTTTCATATTCTCGCTTTGTTTTTCTTTTCCCTCTCACTCTCGCAATAGATCTATCTATCTTTCTCTCTATTGTATATACCTGTTGCATATATCTACTATATATATTTTCTATCAAATTTGTTTGTATCTGTCAATCAGTTTATCTAAGTCTCTTCATATTTAGCTATCTACTTAGGTGACTAACAATCAAATCAAGGCACAGTTCTGGCTAGTATGTTTGTATGTATCTATCAATGCATCTATCGATTTATAGTTTTATCTATTTATCAATCTGTGCATATTCTCCAAACCATTCCATTATTATTACAGTTTCTTTTGTCATTTCACAGAATGCGCCCTATCCTCTTTCAATATCGTTTTCCTTCATTACCTCTATATTACTCTATTCATATACATACACATATATATATATATGTGTGTGTGTGTGTGTTGAAGAAATACACACACACACACACACACACATATATATATATATATATATATATATATATATATATATATATATATATATATATGTATATATATATTTATGTATGTATGTATGTATGTATGTGGGGCAGTGGGTAGCGGCTCGGAGCCGAGTTCGAATTCAGTCTGAACTGAATTCATATTTAAAGATGTTTGAGGACGTTGTAACACATAGTCAGCCCTTCTAAAAGTGTGATTGGTTCTCCACTAAGCCTTCACCACTATAATCAAATAATATGCGCTGGGGTCTGGCTGTCAGTTCCTAGAGTTGTTGACCGTCATACGTTGAATACGACGAGAATGTCCACCGACATATATATATATATATATATATATATATATATATATATATATATTCCCTACTTTCGGCCTTGTACCACATCTAAGCTACGCTGTATATATATATATATATATATATATATATATATATATATATATATATATATATATATAGCCCGGCATTGCCGGCGTTGCCCGTGCTTGATTCAAAAAATCGTACGACTCATACAGCAATCGCTATTACTTGACTTAAATTATTTTTTGCCCTTCCTTTGCCGTACTGATGTTGCTACATACCTTACTTCTTGCCTATCTCACAATGCGAATTTTTTTCTAAGCGCTATACTAAACATTAAATCTGTTACGAAAAAAGAACTAAACAAAATGAACACAAAACGATCAGCCTTAAAAAAAAAAAAAGAACTCGTAACTGAAAAAACCGAATGAAAAAAGAATGTTAACAACAAATACTTTTTCACGCCCAACCCAGTTCTGCGGAATCAGAATCAACGTTGAGTTTAAGCAAGCGAATGAGCCAATTGGAATAAAGTGCCATGCAGATTTAAATTTTTCCCACTTGTGACGAATGCAGCTATCGATTTTTTTGCATGCTAGTTAACATTCGTGTCAGTCAGCTGTTGGCTCTCACGCTGGCCAATAGTATCTTCCTGCCTATTCGTGGCAGCCAGCTATAGGCTCTCACTCTGGCCAGTAGAAAAGGTACTTTCTATCTCTTCTCTCCAGTTTCTGATGTAAAAAGTTACATATATATAAAGTTATACACACACACACACACACACACACACACACACACACACACACACACACACACACACACATATATATATATATATATATATATAGTTATACATAAGGTGGTAAAAGCTGTGGTCAACACAGAGCATCGGCATTTCTTCCTTGAACGTAATCTTCAGACGATGTGGGTTTTATTTTGTCTCGACTTTATATAAGCTTCGGTGTTGACCTCAGTGTCCACTTTTATATTTACATATGTTCTATCCCTGATATCGAGTACTTTTCCCCATGAATAAAGCATTTTTACATTTTATATATATATATATATATATATATATATCTCTTTTAAAATAAAAAGAACAGTCAGATTAATAAACCACAGTTCTTTAGCATCTATTTTTTTAAAAAGTGATCGATACAAAGTAGAGCGTAATATTATAATATTATTATTCAAAAATATGTTTTCATCGCGACATGGAAATGACTATGTTTTTGGAACTAAAAATTAAAATTAAAATGTTTGTTCCATTCTCAAGCGATGTTGAATAACTTCAGAAAAAAATGATTTATTTTTTTTTTTAGCAAAGAAGTATTATATTTAAGAGTTTAATTTGGAGGGGAAGTTGCTAAATGGAGTGTCTTTTTTGACGAACTTTGCTTAAAAAATAAATATATATGAGTCTGTATGTGTGTGTGTGTGTGTGTGTGTGTGTGTGTGTGTGTGTGTGTGTGTGTGTTCGTGCTTATGTCTCTGTGTGTGTTTCATTAAATTGACAATGTATTTTTGTTAAAGTTTTTACTTAGTTGTTTTGGGGTGTGGAAATTACTTTCACATACTGATTCCTTTTGAAAAGACCTAATAGATTAGACCAAAACGCTCAGATTGAAGTATCATTCAAATAATTACGACACAAACTTACTATTTCGAAAAACATCTTGTTCACACAACGTTTAAATACAACGATTGCTGCCCTATATTTCTCTATCTCTCTCTCTCTCTCTCTCTCTCTCTTTCTCTGTATATATATATATATATATATATATATATATATATATATATATATATATATATATATAATGTGATAAAATATAGTTTTAAAGTACGCTATATTCATTTATTAAAGTACTCAGTATCAGGGATAGAGCGTATATAAATATAAAAGTGGACATTGAAGTCAAGATCCAGAGGCAGCACTCTGTTTGATGCTTAACCGCAGTCATCAGACTATGTATTATTTATATATTTCCTGTTCTATCGGTGCTAAATAAATACAGATTTGTAAATTTGTGAGCGCTTACTCTCCTTATCTGCTTTAATAAACTATACAAATAAAATATTGATCTGCATATAGGCAAATTTAGTTCCTGAGTAAAATGAACCATTTAATTAATCAGTTCTTTATACACCTACGTCCCTTAGATTACAGTCTTATTTGTACAAGCCCTTCATGTAAGGCACTCAGATACTTTTGTCTCTTAAGTGATTTTCCTGCTTCAACTTGGCTTTATTCTTGTCCTTGTCATTCTGTTGTTCACTTTTTTCTTCCGATAGATTCTTCCATTTAAATTTTATATGAAACACAGAAATTTTTAACATGAACAAATATTGAACAAAAAGCGGTTTATAAATGACCAGCAGTACTGAATGAATTATAAACACTAAATACTATTGAATGTCTAATAAAAATATATATATATAGTTTAAATTTATTTTTTCTTATTCCAGCATGCTTGCCAACCAAGCTGAAGCGCTTAATCTGCCCTATTATTTAACCCATAGATGGGAGCTAATAGATAATAGACATTTCGGAAGTATATTTGTGCGAAAGTGACTGTAAGGAATACGTCTGAAATTCGAACATGGTGAACCGTGGCTAACCATTATACTACACATTCATCCAACAATATTAAGCATGAAGGTTGAAATTACTGAATGGCATTTCATAATAGGACGTGGTGTAGACTAAACCTAAGATAAGTGGAAGAATGGAGCCTGGTACCCTAAGCAACTAGTCGCGTCAGCGTTGTTAGTTCGATTTTCAATGGGAGGGCGATACACATGTGACTTAGTGCGATCATTCACAATCTAGTCACGCAGACGGTTCGATTTTCACTCGGGGCGCAAAGTCTTGTACCAGAATAATCGTATATCGCTACGTGAAGTCTGCGATTTTTGCTTTCATTCTTACTAACGCCGTAGTAAGAACAAAGAAAAACTCGCAAGTTTTTGTTCAGTTCAAATTCTCAGAACCAGAATTTAAATGTTTATAGAAATTTTAGAGAATCAGATTTTAACACATTCACGAATTATTATAAAGCCGACGACGAGTTATCTCGTGCTTGGTATTTTTATGATATATTTTCATCTACGGTCTTCACCAACGAAGTTTATTCGCAGTCATACATTTACTGTGAAAATAATGCTAAGATTTAAGCTAAAGCTATATAATGTGTTATTGCCTAAGTTGGATATTACATAGATGGTGTTTGAAGTCGTATTTCGTCATTAACCTCTGGCGGTCAACATGTTAATCATAGCCGTACAAGTTTGTGTCTTGAGTAGATAGATAGATAGATAGATAGATAGATAGATAGATAGATAGATAGATAGATAGATCAAGATTGTGAGGGGGAAAACAGAAAAGAACCTAGAATTTGAGAAAACATGTGACTGAAAAAGCAATATTCCTCATTAGATAGATAGATAGATAGATAGATAGATAGATAGATAGATAGATAGATAGATCGTATGAGAGGGCAGCGTGAATTTTAGCGTTCGAGTAGTTTGGCAAATAGGTCTCACCGTTCTACGGTTGAACTAGGTGGATGCAACCATCAGTTTTATTCTGTTTCGTAAGAACTTTAGCAAATAACAAAGGCCACATCACTTGGAGACTTCTAAAAGCAACAACGACTAAAATGGATTGCATATGTAAATGGAAGAGAAAAAAAATGGTATGATCAAGATGTTGACTTTCCACACTACCTTAAACAAAATACGTGAAGGATCAATAACAGTTACTGGAGTTGAGCCACCTATTTTCCTGAAAAAAAATGTTTTACGAGAATCGCTATCTATAAAAACGGGATGTGTGTGTGTGTGTGTGTGTGTGTGTGTGTGTGTGTGTGTGTGTGTGTGTGTGTGTGTAACGAATGCACGGCCGCAATTTTCAAAGGATTTGCACCAAAATTTACATGCACATGCTCCAAGTTAGCGGAAAGGCCAAGACCAACTTTACATTTCCAAACTCCCATCGATAGTGGAAATAATCGATTTTTTTCATGCTTCTACGGCAGTTTTCATGTAGTTTGAGGCCATTTCGCACTGGCTAGAGTGAGAGCCTAAAGCGGGTGCCACGAATAGGCAAGAAGATTCTATTGGCCAGCGTGAGAGCCAACAGCTGACTGACACAAATTTTAACTAGCATGTTAGCATGCAAAAAATCGATAGCTGCATTCGTCACAAGTGGGAAAAATTTAAATCTGCATGGCACTTTACTCCGATTGGCTCATTCGCTTGCTTAAACTCAACGTTGATTCTGATTCCGCAGAACTGGGTTGGGTGTGAAAAAGTATTTGTTGTTAACATTCTTTTTTCATTCGGTTTTTCCAGTTACGAGTTCTTTTTTTTTTTTTAAGCTGATCGTTTTATGTTTATTTTGTTCAGTTCTTTTTTCGTAACAGATTTAATGTTTAGTATAGAGCTTAGAAAAATTTGCAGTGTGAGATAGGCAAGAAGTAAGGCATGTAGCAACATCAGCACGGCGAAGGGCACTCCTTTAAAGGCAAGGAAGGGCAAAAATATTTTAAGTCAAGTGATAGCGATTGCTGTATGAGTCGTACGTTTTTTGTATGGTCTATGCTGCTAGTGTTTTTAAATTACCAAAAGACAGTAAGACTAAATGTTCAGATCGACTCCTCGGAAAGTTGGTTCACTTGTCAGAATCCATCTTGCACATTTATAAATTTACCATTCGTCTTTGCATTGAATATCGCTGCCATATCTGGTCTGGTGCTCCTATTATTTATCTCGAAATTCCTGAAAAAACTTTAAAAAAAAAGAACCGTCTTTAATGTAATTGATCCTGACTCCGTTTTACGACTTCAGTCACTTTCTCACCGACATGACCAGACGTGAGTATCCTCTGCGAATTCTAGAAATAGTTTCATGAAAAAATTTCTGGTCAGCTTTGACTGCATGAATGTAAGGGTGATACTAGATTGGTAAATAGGTCTCACCGTTTTATTTTTGAACTAGCTAGATGCAATCGTACAGTGTGTTCTATTCTGATTATTTTATTTTCTCGCACTTCTCACCTGTGGGACTCCCTTCAGACTTCTTGCTTTCTTGTCAACAACAATCTTCAGATATTTAATCTTTTAATTTTAATACAAATTCAATATCTTATTTCCGTCTTGTTCTTGTATTTTTCCGGCCTATGGTAATGGCGATGTTAGCTGTTTCTTTAAAAATAAACACGGCATTCATTTACTGAGCAGCCAGTACTTCTGTCGGTTTAAATTTATAAAATCTTTCTCTTAAAATATTTTTTCAGAAAAATATTTTTCTCAAGTCCATTAACTGTTATCGCTCTTTCCACTATTGATGGCAGTTTCCTTCCTAACCTTTTGTTTGATGTTGTGTGGAACGTCAACGTCTTGATTATGTCATTACGTTCTCTTCGAGTTAAAGTAATAACCATTTTAATTGTTGTTTTTGGAATTTCCCAAGTGATGTAGTTTCTCTTATTTGGTACAATTCTTTGTTCGGTACCCTGTAACGCCAATCCTCAAGATTCGAATATACCAAACTGTATGTATTTGAAGCTAAATAAAAAATAAATATCAATGACTGTATTTATCTTTTTAAGCATTTCACCCCAAGCAAGGCGGAGTGTCACTAGCACGCAAGGGGTTACAGAGAGTGAGAGCAAGAGTAAAGGGGTCTTATAGAGAAAAGGATGAAGTGAAAGACGGGTGATTAGATCAAAGCATCTGGAGATGTCGATTGACATTGCATTTGAATATTTGAAGACTATAGCTATCAGGGAAGCGAGTAAGAGTAAGGGAGTTCCATAGACGGGAAGTGCGAGACATGAAGCTGTTGGAGTAGAAGAGACGGCTCCACTTAACCGTTTCGACAGAGAAAGGGTGGGACTGAGATGCCAACCTAATAGCACGCTTAAATTCATGCAGTTTTGGAACCAGCGAAAGTAGCTCGTCGAACCAGTTACCGAGAAAGTATCTGTAGAAAAGACATAGGGGAGCTACGGCACGTCTATGAAAAAGTGACTGTAGACGAGATGCCAGATCAAGACCTATGACATTGCATATCCGACTCTGGATTTTGTCGAGGACCTTGAGACGAACAGCGGGGGCTCCAGACCATATATGGCAGCAGTATTCGATGCAAGTGCGAATGGTTGTTTTGTAGATTTGAAGAATATTCTATAAATTTATTTACAATATATTGTACAACGATCGAGTTGCATAATAAGATGCACATAGCCAAATAATTCAGCGGGAATATTTCTAAGTGATGTAAACTTAAATTCACCTATTATAATATAGTTATGAACATTTTATCAGCAGCGGTTTGCATAATAAAATGTGACAGACATATTCCAAGATAAAAAATAAATAAATTAGTTACGGATTTATTGGTCCACATATTTCCACATAAACACATGTCTGCAAATCTATCGCTTTACGTTACGGTAGCTGGCGCTGTGTTGCCATTTGGACTAGGTTACATTTGTCATTTGTGTACATTAATAGCTAGACTGTCTTTAACGTGTGTTGTAGTGAGTTAAATGGAAAGTGTTTCGTTTACCAATGGCGGGATATTCATATTGTGAGCAGGCAGATATGATTTTTACATACGGCCGAGCAAATTGTAATGGACGCGAGGCTGCACGGCTGTATTAGATTGCATTTCTAGGCCAAAGGCAGCCGAGCCATCCAACCTTTGTTAAACACTGATTTTTGGTGCTATTGTATAATAAATTGTCCTTCCTTTCTTAAAACGTTCCTTACATTTAACATACAAATGAATATTTCCGCTTAATTAGTCATGAAGGTCATGAAGTGCAAAAGCAAAATATATAATTTTGCACCCGTGGATTTGATCACATGTGCCTGTCTGTGTGTATGCGCTTATTTGCGTGTAGGTGGTATGTGTGGATGTGAGTGTGAACGTGTTTCTGTGTGAGCGGATTTCTGCTTCTATGTGGAAGCGTGTCTTTATATACATGTTCCCAATCTCCATATTTCTTTCTCTTACTTTATCTCCATTTTGTTCTCTGTCTCTCTTTCTCTACCCCTTTCTATCTATCTCTGCCTTTTTCATCTCTCTCTCTCTCTCACTCTTTTTCATTTTCTCTCTTTCTCTTTCTCGCTTTCTCCTTCTCTCTCTCTCTCTCTCTCTCTCTCACACACACACACACTCTCTCCAAATTTTTTGTTTGTCTCTTTCCATTTCGATCTCTGTCTTGCTCTTTCACACCGTTTCTCTCTCCACTTTTTGCCCCCTTTCTCTCTTGATCTCTCTCTATTTTGTTTCCTGTCTGTCTGTCTTTCTAATTCTCTCTCCCCATTTCGTTTTCTTTCTTTCAATCTCTCTCTCTCTTTCCTCTTTCTCTCACCAGTATATGTCTTCCTTCATTTCATCTTCTGTTTTCTCTCTCTGTAGGAAGCACGGTGGAGTAATGGATAGCGGCTTGGATTGAGGAATCGGAGAGCCGAGTTCGAATTCCAGTCGAATCCATTACATTCACTTAAGTACTAATACCCTTGGAAAAGGTGTGAATCCTCTTTCTTCTCCCTCCAGGACAGACTGGGTTCTTGGATGGCAACTGGTCTAGAAGGAAAACTCTGAATTCAAAACCTGCTCTTAGAGGAGGGTGAATGGAGTCTCTCTGAGCCTTGGGTGGCAATCCATTTAGTGTTGGTGTCACGATATAAACAACCTTGATAGCCCTAGCGAAGCATCAAGAATTCAGCTATTTGACAAGATTATGAACTACACCAATCAAAGTATTGGTGAGTTCAATCTCGGCGGAGGCCACAAGATGTATGTTTCTCTCTCACACTATCTCTTTCTCCACATTTTCTCTGTCGCTTCCTTTCTCCTCATTTCGATTTCTGTCTTTCTCTCACACACTCTGTCCATATTGTTCTCTGTGAATTTCTTTCTTTCTTTTTCTCTCACTCTGTATCTATCACCCTAAACTTCGTTTTCCGTCTGTGTCTTCCATTCTCTCTCACTTTTTCTCTCTCTCTCTCTCTCTCGTCATTTTTCTCTGTCTGTCTTTCTGTATCCTTTTCCCTTCATTTGGTCCTCTGTCTCTCAAGTACACACTCTCTCTCGTTACTTTTTCTTCTCTTTCTCTCCCCCTCTCTCTATAATTTGATCTCTGACTATCTTTTTCTCTCTCTATTTCAAAGTCTCACTATTTTCCTCTCATTCATTCGCTCTTCCCATTTTGTTCTCTGTCTGTCTGTCTCACTCTGTTTCGATCTCTGACTGCCCTGCTCTCTCTCTCTCACTCACTCACCCTCTTTATCTTGTCCCATTTAGTTTTTGGCCCGTCGATCTGTCTGTCTGTCTCTCTGTCTCACACCCTTTCTCTCTCATTGACTGTGTGTCTGGTCTGCGATAATTTTCGTGAGTACTGAATACAGATAATTCGATAAACACATTGATACCGTAAAAACTCAGTAGGTAATAAATTTTCTGTTTCTTTTATTGTTTTATGTCTTTTCACGCTGATGTCAAAAAAATTGGAGACTTTAAAAGTTACATTTTCTTAATCACTCAGCTTTCTTGCTTAACTTTTTCGAGAAACAGCTTTTTCTGACTTTCCGAAGGTTAAACAACCTTTTAACTCTGATTAAATTTTCACTTTCCTAACTTTGTCTGTGTCCAACGAGCGCGTGAACCATATCAGTTCATTATGTATCCTACATTTTGCGTCGTGTTTTAAAACAAATATATGTAAACACATCCCTTTTCACCTATATTTCTCATTAATGGTTCACCTTTCCTACCCACTCCCACTCACCTTGTAAACTTTCATTCATTCATTTCTTCAGAAGATCACTGGTTGTCGACATCAAACATTACAATTTTTCACACGCAAATCTGTCTTATACATTTAGAAGTCCACAATTTGTCCGTGTATTGAATATTGTTGCCATGTCTAGTCAAGTATGTCTGCTATTTAACTCTAGATTCTTGATTAAATCCAGATTCCATCTTATATGTCTATAAGTCTACAAGTTGTCCGTGTATTGAATATTGTTGCCATGTCTAGTCAAGTATGTCTGCTATTTAACTATAGATTCTTGATTAAATCCAGATTCCATCTTACATATCTATAAGTCTACAATTTGTCCTTGTATTGAATATTGTTGCCATGTCTAGTCAAGTATGTCTGCTATTTAACTCTAGATTCTTGATTAAATCCAGATTCCATCTTACATATCTATAAGTCTACAATTTGTCCTTGTATTGAATATTGTTGCCATGTCTAGTCAAGTATGTCTGCTATTTAACTCTAGATTCTTGATTAAATCCAGATTCCATCTTACATATCTATAAGTCTACAATTTGACCTTGTATTGAATATTGTTACCATGTCTAGTCAAGTATGTCTGCTATTTAACTATAGATTCTTGATTAAATCCAGATTCCATCTTACATATCTATAAGTCTACAAGTTGTCCGTGTATTGAATATTGTTGCCATGTCTAGTCAAGTATGTCTGCTATTTAACTCTAGATTCTTGATTAAATCCAGATTCCATCTTACATATCTATAAGTCTACAAGTTGTCCGTGTATTGAATATTGTTGCCATGTCTAGTCAAGTATGTCTGCTATTTAACTCTAGATTCTTGATTAAATCCAGATTCCATCTTACATATCTATAAGTCTACAATTTGACCTTGTATTGAATATTGTTACCATGTCTAGTCAAGTATGTCTGCTATTTAACTATAGATTCTTGATTAAATCCAGATTCCATCTTACATATCTATAAGTCTACAAGTTGTCCGTGTATTGAATATTGTTGCCATGTCTAGTCAAGTATGTCTGCTATTTAACTCTAGATTCTTGATTAAATCCAGATTCCATCTTACATATCTATAAGTCTACAAGTTGTCCGTGTATTGAATATTGTTGCCATGTCTAGTCAAGTATGTCTGCTATTTAACTCTAGATTCTTGATTAAATCCAGATTCCATCTTACATATCTATAAGTCTACAATTTGTCCTTGTATTGAATATTGTTGCCATGTCTAGTCAAGTATGTCTGCTATTTAACTCTAGATTCTTGATTAAATCCAGATTCCATCTTACATATCTATAAGTCTACAATTTGACCTTGTATTGAATATTGTTGCCATGTCTAGTCAAGTATGTCTGCTATTTAACTCTAGATTCTTGATTAAATCCAGATTCCATCTTACATATCTATAAGTCTACAATTTGTTCTTGTATTGAATATTGTTGCCATGTCTAGTCAAGTATGTCTGCTATTTAACTCTAGATTCTTGATTAAATCCAGATTCCATCTTACATATCTATAAGTCTACAATTTGTCCTTGTATTGAATATTGTTGCCATGTCTAGTCAAGTATGTCTGCTATTTAACTCTAGATTCTTGATTAAATCCAGATTCCATCTTACATATCTATAAGTCTACAATTTGACCTTGTATTGAATATTGTTACCATGTCTAGTCAAGTATGTCTGCTATTTAACTATAGATTCTTGATTAAATCCAGATTCCATCTTACATATCTATAAGTCTACAAGTTGTCCGTGTATTGAATATTGTTGCCATGTCTAGTCAATTATGTCTGCTATTTAACTCTAGATTCTTGATTAAATCCAGATTCCATCTTACATATCTATAAGTCTACAAGTTGTCCGTGTATTGAATATTATTGCCATGTCTAGTCAAGTATGTCTGCTATTTAACTATAGATTCTTGTTTAAATCCAGATTCCATCTTACATATCTATAAGTCTACAAGTTGTCCGTGTATTGAATATTGTTGCCATGTCTAGTCAAGTATGTCTGCTATTTAACTCTAGATTCTTGATTAAATCCAGATTCCATCTGACATATCTATAAGTCTACAAGTTGTCCGTGTATTGAATATTGTTGCCATATCTAGTCAAGTATGTCTGCTATTTAACTCTAGATTCTTGATTAAATCCAGATTCCATCTTACATATCTATAAGTCTACAAGTTGTCCGTGTATTGAATATTGTTGCCATGTCTAGTCAAGTATGTCTGCTATTTAACTCTAGATTCTTGATTAAATCCAGATTCCATCTTACATACCTATAAGTCTACAATTTGTCCTTGTATTGAATATTGTTGCCATGTCTAGTCAAGTATGTCTGCTATTTAACTCTAGATTCTTGATTAAATCCAGATTCCATCTTACATATCTATAAGTCTACAATTTGACCTTGTATTGAATATTGTTTGCCATGTCTAGTCAAGTATGTCTGCTATTTAACTCTAGATTCTTGATTAAATCCAGATTCCATCTTACATATCTATAAGTCTACAATTTGACCTTGTATTGAATATTGTTACCATGTCTAGTCAAGTATGTCTGCTATTTAACTATAGATTCTTGATTAAATCCAGATTCCATCCTACATATCTATAAGTCTACAATTTGTCCTTGTATTGAATATTGTTGCCATGTCTAGTCAAGTATGTCTGCTATTTAACTCTAGATTCTTGATTAAATCCAGATTCCATCTTACATATCTATAAGTCTACAATTTGTCCTTGTATTGAATATTGTTGCCATGTCTAGTCAAGTATGTCTGCTATTTAACTCTAGATTCTTGATTAAATCCAGATTCCATCTTACATATCTATAAGTCTACAATTTGACCTTGTATTGAATATTGTTACCATGTCTAGTCAAGTATGTCTGCTATTTAACTATAGATTCTTGATTAAATCCAGATTCCATCTTACATATCTATAAATCTACAATTTGTCCGTGTATTGAATATTGTTGCCATGTCTAGTCAAGTATGTCTGCTATTTAACTATAGATTTTTGATAAAATCCAGATTCCATGTAACATATCTATGAGTCTACAATTTTACCGTATATTGAATATTGTCATCTGGTCAAGTGTGTGTGCACTTTATTCATAGATTTTTGATAAAATACAAAGAATAATCTGCAATGTTATCTGTCTTGGCCTTGCATCTTGTCTTGAATAACTTCCCAACGGCCGTAACGTAGCTTCAGTCTGGCTTTTCTATAAATATTCTCATAGCAATTGTGAGTTTTCCTCTTTTATGCCTCGAATTCCTGAATTAAAGTTTAGTAGTACAGTGACAGCTAGATTTCATCTTTCTACTGTTGAAACTGATAGATGTAACCGTAGGTTCTATATTGATTGTTTCTTCTCTCGCATGCATTCATTTCAAGAATTCTTAATAATGACTGCATTGTTTCATTCCAAGTAAACTGGCATCTGATTGTGGAATGTAAATAATAGCGACGTCCATATATATATATCCGTTATTGATATACAGAATCTTAGCTTCCATATCAATAACGGATATATATATATATATATATATATATATATATATATATATATATATACATATAAATATAGATAACTAGACTCGTTTCGAAAAAAACCTCGAATTTTTGATTTGCTAATCAAATCAATCTCGAGGAAAAAAAGGTTTTAAAAAAGAAAGAGATACAAACATGGACTTCTGCCGACAAAAAAATCGCACAGATGCAGGTCTGAAGACCAAAGAAAAACCCCTGATACGAGTAACAACTAACTAACAAAAGAGCTCAATACAACCGTAGAGCAGACCTAGATACACCTAGTGAGCCAGACAAACCTACCTAGGTTTCACCTAAACGGATCGTCAGGAAAGTTTCCCTGACGATCCGTTTTGTGAAAAATGGTAGGTTTGTCTAATATATATATATATATATATATATATATATATATATATATATATATATATATATATCTTCCATATCAATAACGGATATATATATATATATATATATATATATATATATATATATATATATATATATATCCGTTATTGATATGAAGCTAAGATTCTGCATTTTGTGAAGGATCTCAATATATATATATATATATATATATATATATATATATATATAGAGAGAGAGAGAGAGAGAGATTCTTCACAAAATGCAGACTCCCGGTCACTGGGCGTATTTATAAAGATAAACACGCTAAAAATCCACTTTTATCCCTACCGTGCGCCGATGGCTTAATGGTTAGAATCTCCGACTGACACCAGTTCAGTCGGTTTTCGACCCTAGCTGGAGGCAACCGGATGTCTAGCCACACTGATGAGCTGCGAAACAGTCTGTCTGTGGATGACGGTATATATATCCGAATTTAATGAGAACGAAAATAATATATATAGTTTAACGTCTACAGCATTAATTAAAAAGAGGGCAATTAAATTATATATATATATATATATATTTTGATACAAAATATCAAATTTGTGACTTAGCTGACTAGTGTCAAATTCAGCACCTCCGTTTCATAGACGAACCTTTTTGCAATGAAATTATTTATAGAAAAGACTCAGAGATGGCACTTTACGG